AGCTCTCATCCTAATGTCTCATTAAACTCCTTGTAAAATGTGATAATAACCAGAGATTAATTTGCATGCTGCTCTTTTTTATTGCCATCGCTTTCATCCCAAAGCCAGATCCACTTACAGAGCCACCCCATTCCTAGGAAGCGATGTCCTAACCCAACTTGTTTTACAACTCCTCACACCTGGAAGATTTTTTTTTTCTTTTTTTTCCCGCCCTCTCATTACTGTCCTTGTGCTCGCCACACTCCATAGGCATTACATTGGTTTCCCCCTCCTCCCCCTAATAGAAATGCAGCCACTTGGAACGTAGGGGTTCCTTGGAAATTCCCAAAGTGGCGCAACAGTCTTCCACTCAGTCCAGCTGTAAATAACTGTTATGTCACGGATGACTGGAGTTGCAGTCCATCTGTGAAAATGTAGACCTGTTTGAATTTTTCCTTTTGGTTTCCCATTTGTCTATTACCCAAATGTGTTTGAATCTTAGTGGGAGATTTCACTGGCAACATGTATTTTTCCTAAAGGATGATAAATTTATCCTGAAGGCTAATTTCCTGTTTGTTGCTATTTACCTGCTCTGCATGTTTGCTCTGACCACCCATGTTTGAATTCATGCTTCTACAGCAAAAGTAGGTCAGAATCAGCGGGCTTGGTATCCGTAGCTCGGACATAGCCTTTGCGTCACTGCTCTGGATGTGTCCCCTGATTCGGTTACTGTGAGGAGATGGCAGCAGCTGTGCATTTGCAGTGGAACAAGCTGTGCCCATGGATTAGCAATTAAGGACAAGCAAATAAAAAAAAAAAAAAGAGTGGGAGAGAGAAGACATGATTACTACTTGATGTACATCAGGTCAAATTTCTTTGCAGGTATTTTTTTTTTTTTTTTTGCCAACACATATCATTGAACATTAAAGTGAGTGAGCATGACCATGCCCCGTGCTAAAAATACCTTGAATCATTCCCTGTTTTTGTCACCCATCTTTCACCTCCATTGTGCATTTATTTTCTCCCGCTTCCTGATTACTCTATTTTGTACATTTTTTTGTTATTATTTTAAGTCTTTACTTTCTCTCTGTTACTCACTGTAATCCATTTGTCCAACTTACAAAGAGGGCAGCGGAAGGAAGTAGTGGAGGAGAGGCGTGTGTCAGAGTCAGAGAGCGCCTGCTCCAGCTGGAGTCAATATTTGCTTTAGGAATCTCAATAACAGGCCCACAGTCATCTGCATCTCTGATAATGGACCGCCATATGGCTCTGTTGACCCACGCTGTGCTGAGGCTCTCTCTCTGTCCCCATCCCTTCTTGTTTTTCATTTATCGGCTTCCCTGAAAGTCGTTTCATCAAAACCCTTCCTTCCTTCTGTATTTTTTTCCCCCCTCTCCACTTGTCCCCTCTCTAGGTACATTTTGTCATTTATTTATTTATTTTTGCAAGCTTCTTTTCTTTCTGTCCATCATCCACTAAACCCTGGACATGACCCACCACACAGAGCTGTGACCCGTGTTACCATAGCAGCAGGGCCTGGGATGCCCACTCTTTGTCCAGCACAGTTTCCAGCAAGTGACAGAAAACGGTGACGTTGCATGTCTGGAAGACGGATAAAGAGCACATTAGGAAGTGCTTTTACGTGCTTAAAGTCATGCTGCTCTACTGTGAGGAACAATCAATTAGTCACACCATATTATTTGGTAGCTTTTAGAGCTTTTATATAGCCAATACATACTTTTGAGTATTTCTACTCCGTCTTCTTCTTCCGTTTTAAAGTGTAAAATAGAAGCTTTTATTTTTATGGTGTGTTAATGTTTAAATTTTATATCTTTCTGACACTTTTCTGTGGCCCAAACCGTGTTAAAAACATGTCTGTATGCAGGCGTTTGAGTTTTGCTTCTTAGATTTGCAAAAGTATTCATACCGGAAACATATACTAGTGTAATTGAGATTTTAGGTGATAGACCAACACAAACAAGTACATAACTGTAAAGTGGAAAGAAAGAGATGCATACTTTAACTAAAAATTGAAAAGTGTGGCATTGATTTGTATTTAGTTCTCTTCAGTAAATACTTTGATGAACTACTTTCCACTGCAATTAAGTCTGCTTATCTTTTGGGGCATTTGTCTTTCATGTTTGCGCATGTAGACACTCAAGTCTTTTGCAACTTATTGTTTTCATCCACAAGAAATGGATTTTCCCCATCAGCTCTGACCTTCTTCGCTTTATGCCATTGTATATGAAGTCAACTGCAGAACAAATTTCTTTTAGCGTTCTACCGACAATGGCTTTCTTCTGTTCAATTTTACATGAAAGCCATATTTATAGAGAACATAACGAATAGCTGTCCTGTCATTACATTGAGTCATGGATCTCTGCAGCTCGTTCAGAGTCATCATAGGTTTTTAGCTGATTTTGAAAAACGGCATCCATTAGGTGGTATGTGTTGGTAGGTTTTCATTTATGCAATACTCTTTGGGTTTTGGGACAATAGATGGCATGACCTTCTTTAAGATGTCCAAATCCTGGAATATTACTTTGTAATCTAATCTCGCTTTAAACATTTAAACTTTATTTAGGAACATCTGAGTAAAGGGGGTTAATTTTAGTTTTGAAAATTTGTCTTTCCACTATGAAGTGAGAAGATGATTCAAGGTTGGTGTCTGATAATATCCATATAAATAGATAAGTGTGTTTGCAAGGTACGGTGTACTTTTTTTAATGAGATTGTTTTTCAGGAACATGCTCTCCTACCTAATCCTTTGTCTTACTCTGCCCTCTGTCCGCTTTTTGTCCGTTACCCTGAACAGCTTGGCTGTCGTACCGGCTGGTGTGTCTCTGCACAGGTGCCCGTCATCTCTGCTTCGCCATGGTTCCCCTCAAAGCCATTGGTCATGGCTGCCTTGGCCCCTGCTGTGGCGGCATGTGCCCACCACAGGCTTCCTGCCCAGTGACTGTCTTGTCCTATCTATCTAACCCAGACCACAGCCCCTCGGCCCAGTCCAGCCTATCTCAGCTTAGCCTGGTTCATCCTTGGCGTCCACTTCAGCCTAGTTTCACTCTACCCAGGCAGTCATAATGAGATGGGGGAGGAGGGCATCAGCGTTCAATAACTGCGGCTTTGTCTGCTCGGGAGTTCATGCGTTTGTCAAGCAATTTGTCAGGCATTGTTTGAGAAGAAAACATGGTCACAGAGAGTAGTCCGACTCATTCTCGGATATTCGCTCACCCACACATTGTTAAATCTCAGGGTACTTACTGTCATCATGGCATCAAATAGTCCTTTTTACCCCAATGGTTCCCTTCCCCATATTTTATCCCACACTTCCTTCCATTCCACAACAGACTTAGCAGGATATATCCATGATAATGATATGATAATAGCTATCAGAATGTTTTTCCACCCTCACCCAGAAGCCATTTTGGAGGCTTATTTATCTATTTATTTATTGGAGTTTCCTCCATTCCAAATCCAGCCATCCATCCTGCATGCTGGCTGCCCAGGCCTCAGTCGCTGCTTGTCACTCTGAATTTCAAATGGCTCCAATTTTCCCCCTGATGGCACGGAGAAGTGGCAGGCAGCACATCGGGGAGGGTGGTCCTAGACATGCTGCCTGCAGCAGGGGTTCTATTAGAGAGAGGAGAGGGACGAGAGTAGGAAGAGGAGAGCTTTTCAGCATCACGCCAGCATTGATGTATTCTTTTTTATGATTATTTTGGAGACTGCATTCTCATTTGGGGCTATGTGGCATGGCTGATTGTTCCATTTCTGCTTCTGGCTGGAATGATGATGATGGGGCTGCCTGGTCCAGCAAAGCTAAATCACACCATCACGGTGTTTTATGAAGCAACTATCAGTCCGTTTAAATGGCTTTAAGAACAATAATTCAGCCCCTCTCACCGATGATCAAGATTAAATAATAACTTATCGATAAACTTTGTCTCTGAAGAGGAAGCCTTTCCTTTCACACAGGAAAGAAAAGGTGAGCAGTTGTCATGTGAACAAATACCGTAATATCTTGTGATGATTGCCTACCTATTATTTATTGACCAGAAAAAGCAAAGAAACCCAGTTTAACTAATGAGCAAGAGCAAATGTAAAACATAGCACAAAATAAATGTTAACTATAAACTATTTTTGACTGAGTTACAATGGATGGAGCGTGTTTTCAGTAAGACACTAATTAAAGCCATAAAACGTGTTGTAGAGCCTCGGATTATCATTTTACAACATCTAAATTAAAGATTTAGATACTTTTTTATTTTCTCATCTGAGATGACAGATTCCAATGGAAAGAATGTAGAAGCAAATTTAAATTTTACAGAGTGGATTATTTTTGGCCAACACAGGAGGTAACGAGCCGACAGGACTCTCAGATCAGCCATCAGGTTTCCTTCCAGATGCCAGAGAATTGCAGAAATGTGACTTTAGGAAAGTATTTTCCTTTTTACCTAAAGCATGGTTACTAAGACAATAACAACTTAGAAGTTGAAGTTTTTGGGATCGCAGAACCAAATTGGTTTGGTAACCTAAACCCCTGCACCTCCCACACATGCACACCATTCTGTGTCCTGACTTTCCAGTTGATCTCAAGGCTCCGAACATGTGTACTGAGTACACTTCTTTTTCCTGTGCATCCGACGATGTCTGTGACCTTTAGTATGGTTGGAGTCATATGAGAGCCTCCTGCTGTGAGATTTCATTTAAAAAAAAAAAAGCTATGTAAAGGGGGAACTCTTGACACGAATGCATTGTTGCATTGACAGTGTTTTTGTGAGGACAAAATATTTGCAGTATATTGAGCATATCTTACATTTATCTGTGTCTAAGATAGAAATTAATCTTTTTTTTTCTCCTCTACACAGGAAATGATGCATTTATTGACTTCAGGAATTGTTTCACGTAAATTTGTGTAAAAAAAAAAAAAACTTGACGCATGTACCAGTTGCTTTTGTTTCTGTTTTTGTTTTTTTTCCCTACACATACTGTTTGCTCCTTTAACGAGTCGCCGCCAGCTACGAGGAGCGAGCACTCTACTTGGAGGCCATTGTTCAGAACCACAGAGAGGTCATGACCTTTGAAGACTTTGCTTCGCAGGTCTTCTCTCCCTCCCCTGCCTATTCTGCGAGCGGAACAGGTGAGAAATAAACAAAACTCCCCCTCGGTCCGTCTCATTGCTGCATCATTTGTCTCCGTTCTTTTCTCCTCTTTCTTCGTTTGTTTTCTTAGCACCCTTGCTACATTAGTCTGCCCTCCTTCACAACACACCTGTTTGCCCCCTTCTCCCTCCCCTCCACTCTTCTTCAACGCCTACGCTCACTGATGAATATCAAACGACAAGCCCTGGCTCTTCATGCGCTCCGACTGACTTCAAACACACTGCTTCCTCCACTTCCTCAAGCCCTACTCACGCTACTTTGTTCATCCCTTTTTTCTTTTTTTTTTCAAACTGCATCTTTCCATGCAATTACTTCCCCCGTGAATATAAGCAGCCTCTTAAATGCCAGTTGCAGAGTGCCTGTTTGTGTTTATGTCTTTGTGTGTGTTTCCTCATGAGCTCAGTCACTAACACTTAAAAGATCTGACCGACAAACAGCAGCTCGCGGATGTCAGCACAGCCCTCTTATCAGTCCATGATGAATAGAATGGAAAACGTGTCTTATCTTGTTCTTCCTCCTTGTAGCAGCTCTGATCGATCTGCAGCAGCCCTGAAATCAATACAAGATTGCACTTTTCTACTCTATTGGATCCCGACACACATTCTGTTTTGACAAGGAAAGCACTTCACAATACCACACCACAGATGCCTTGTCATTTTCAGATATGTCGGGGCTTATACGTATTAATGGCGCTTTAGCGTGCATGCAGTGTGTTTACTGTGAGTGTGGACAAGTGAAAATTAACTGCAGTATATTTTCCAGTGTTTCCGCCTGTGTTGGACTTTAGAAAGGAGCAGGTGTGACATTCAGGCAGGCAAGAAGTTGTCAGTCACATTTCCATATTGTCGGCCGCTCCTGCCTGCAGATGTGTTAAATCTTCTTCAGTAGCAAGAAAAAAATACCCACACATTAAAGGAAAACACATTTTTCTACAGTGTTAAAATGTGTATATTTATATATTTTGTTTTAAAAAAAAGTTTTAAAAAAAAGTCAGTACTTATATCATGTTTTAAATTCACATGCTTTAGAAATCAAGCATAAAATCTTATTTACACATAATCATAACAGAATAATAAAAAGTGGAATCACAAAAAGCAGATGTTAATTTAGTTACTTTTTCCATTAAAATCACAAACTTTCAGAGTACAAAATATTTAATCAGATTTATACATATATATATAAAAACAGGTGCAAAGTGCTGCATATTTGTGAAGTAGAAAAATATACCTGGTTTTCAAATTGTTTTCACAGACACAATTTGAAAAGTGTGGCATGCCTTTGTTCTTTTTTTTTGCCCACCTAGTAGAGAACACGGTGCTGTCAATTTTGGTGTGTCACCCACATCCTGACACAGCAAACCAGACCCAGTCTTATCACACTGCCAACACCATTTTTAACTGTGCAGATTATTCTCTCTCTTTTTTTAAATGTTAAATGTATTGGGACGCACACCTTCCTAAAAGTTCCACTTTTGTCTCACCGTTTTCTCAAAGTCTTGCGAATCATCGAGTTGATTTTTGGAAATGATGTAATGGACCCTTTTGTTCATTTTGAAGAAATGATCTTCAGCACTGCAGATGCACAACATCTGCAGTGCTGAAGATCTTGTTTTGAGTTCTTCAGTGACCTCCTAGCATTGACACCCTCTTGGAGCATTTTTTATATTCCAGCTTTTCCTGGTTAATTTCACGTCTCTTCCATGTTTTCTCCATTTCTGCTCAATCCTTCGTTCACAGGAGCCCAAACTTTCGGACTGTCGAAGACATTCTCATTTGTTCTTGAATTTCTTTTAATCGGACCATTATATGTTTCTTTTTCAGATCTTTTAGCTGACTCAAGTGATTTGTGATTCTTCAAGTCAGACAGTAATCAGACCAGACAAAGAAACTGATTGATAATTTAATGGGGCCGGGAGGACTAACTCTTTCGTTTCACATATGGACAAGTTGTTTCTGGTAGCTTTTTCCCTTGATAAATGAGCCATCATTTTATAGTAATGTTTTGACAAAAAAAGAATAAGGAGGACTTTTGGAGGAACATTTTGGAAACATGTAACTATTGCCAGTCAAGTTTGTATAGATTTTACACACCACCCCTACACAAGCATTGTACGGGATGTATATGGAGGTAAAAACTTGGCTTAAAATTGCTCATTAATTATCCGCCTAAAATGCTGACTTCTCAGTTCTGAGGACCCTCAACACCATGCAAGGCTTATTGCTTTGTATATTATTTCATTTAACCGTGTTAGCTGGCTGACTGCTCTCCATCTCACTCCCCTGTACAGTGCTCTCCAGTTTCTTTCATTCGTGCAGGTCTGTGTTTATATGCAACTTTGTCCTCCCCATCTGCTCGTCTGTCCATCCTGCTACGGCTGCCATTGCTGCCACTAACATGTCATCCATCCTCCATGACAGCGTGCAGGCGTTGGCCGGGGATGGTTTGGGACATGGAGTACCCCTGGGCCAAGCTGGACTGTAAGACTGCCTGTTTCCTTCATATTTGGCATGGCGTTCAGCCCATTGACATCCCCCGTTCAGTCGTTTGATCCCGACATCATCAGATCCATAGAGGCTGCGTTTCATTTCTGTTGATGCATCCAGGTTTTGACTCCAACTGCAGGTCCTTGCATGCTGATTTGAACATTACAAACATAACATACATTGCCATGCAAAAGTGTTCATACCATTTGAACTTTTTTTATATTTTTGCCACATTACAACCAAAAACTTCATTGAATGTTATAGGTTGTTTTTTTGTCACTGACCAACTAAATGTACATGTGAAGTGGAAGATAAAGAATACTCAGCATTCAGATTTTTTTTCATGGATGTGTACTCGGCACCCCTGAGTCAGTACTTTGTAGAACCAACAATTTGTGCACTTAGAGCTGCAAGCCTTTTGGGATCGGTCGCTACCAGTTTTGCAGATGTAAAGACCTAAGTTTCCTCCGGTTTTAAGGCCTTGACGAAGGTTCTCAATTAGAATTAAGTTTGAATGTTGACTGGGTCGTCTGAATGTGTCGTTGGTCATTTTATCTCTGGCTGTATGATTAGGACCATTTTCTTGCTTTAAAGTAAACCTCTTAGTTTTTTCGCAGCCTCTAACAGGCTTTATTTGAGGATTCCTCTGTGTTTTGCCCCTTTCATCTCCCCTGACCTGCCATGTCTCACTGTAGGAACGGTGTGTGTAAGGTGAAGTGGTGAAGTGCAATGATGACTTTTTCAACATGCATTTAATATTGGTTTCACTTGACCACGGCACCTTCTTCCACTTCATTGCTGTATGTTTTATGTATACCAAACTTTAAACGTTCTTTTATAAAGTTTTTATTCTTTCCACTCCACTATAAAGGTCAAACTTAAATATGCGCAAATAATAATTGTCCCAATTGGTTGCCCTGGATTTTATTTACAGGTGTCAATATATATGAATATGATTTTTTTCCCCCTTTTTTTTTTTTGCATAAAATTTTAATAAAATTTAGGAGTGGTTGTAATGTGGAAAAATGTCAAAAAAGTTAAAGTAGAATGAATATTTCTGTAGACCTGAGCCCACATTCATCCTTTACTTTATTGCAGCTGCTGTTATCCTCAATGTAACTTCACTCTCACCAGGCAGCTTCTGTGCAACATCATGGCTTCCTGCATGAACCGGTCCATCTCTCCCACAAACTCTCCATCAGTGTGTTACACTTTCCACTGCTTTTCTTCACTCTTTAGTGTTTTTTTTGTATGTGGGGGGGGGGGGCGGGTTGGTGGTCATTTGCTGTACTTCTTAAAATGATTAACGGCAGAGGAGAAAAAAAGGTTCTCTCAGGATGAAACTACATAAAAGCTGCCGTGACCCTTTGAGGTGCCCCAGCATCTTTTGCTCTTTCACCCAAACTGCTTTTCTACTCGTAACATTGGCGGTAAATGTTTCTAAGTCTGTTGTTTCCATGTGAACTGCACAACGTTTGTGCACTGGCTTTCAAAATGCTCTTATTTTCTTCTGTGTTATTGGGCACCATCAAACATAACGGTACCTTCAGAGAAATGCCACTTGTTCATTAACTCATTATCCAGAATTGGTTAACCTCCTCTTTCTTTAAAGCTCTAAGTTACAACTAACAACAACACCACACATGCTGCCTGAATCTCAATCCATCTAACTCCCATGAATCATTGAAATATTTGTATTTTCAGCAGCAATGTGTTGCGTTCTGTTTTTCTCGTGTTTCCACATTTTTTTTTTTCCTCACAAATGAATATGTACTCTGTTTTTCCTTTTTAGATTAACAAAAATATCTTAAAGGTCCAAATGCTAGATGTGGTGAAGGTAAGCCAAAGTCGGACTGGAAGCTTGTTTCGGTCCGGCTGCTTTACCTACCCTTCACTCACCCTGACTGTTCTTACCGAAGCCGCTCTTCTTTTTAAATTCAGTACTAACCAAGCTTTATTTACTGAATGTGCTTCAGAATGGGAAAAGAAAGAGAAACCGGGCTGTTTATTTGGGGGGTGTCCTACTGTTTAGGCCAGGCTGGTAATTGAGAGCCATGTACGGTGGCGACAATTAGCACCTGACTAAGTAGCAGCATGAACAATAAAGCTACACTTCTGGCCCTTGCTTCTGCATGTGGTGCGCCTTTATCTCTTCCCCCTGCAAACACTTTTCTTTTTTCTCTCTTTCCTTTTTTTTTAACCCCCCCCCCTCATTTCCTCCTGTTGGAGTGTGCCTGTTTGCCTGGGGCATACTCTGAGACTAACACCTGCCGCACTGGAAGACGTCTTTGTCATCTAAAGCCTTGTTTGAACTGCTGCACTGGGGACCAATGGGAGTGCAGGGCCATTTAAAGGGTCCCCTTTTTTTATCTTTTTGCCCTTTTTCAATTTTTCTTCTTTCCTTCTAAAACAAACGGGAGTGCAAGGGTGGGGGCGCTAAATGGGTGGGTTCAAAACAAAGAAATGTATACATTCAGATAAAATTCCTCTTGATTTATGATATTTTGCTATAATACTGTTCACTGTAAATATAAATCTGAGACAGATGCAGCTGTAGGCATGGCTGGTATAAGATCCTTACAGTTCAACCTGCAGTAAAAATACCATTGCTTCTTGATATTTAACCAAAAATGTGTTGCTTGTATGTAGTGAATTGTTTTATTCAAGAGAGAAAAGCATCAGGTATTCCTTCTGCTGCTGATATAATTGAATATTACTGTTAACGGGCCGATTACTGGTAGACTGAGGGTTTAAGAATGTGAAGTTTTAAAGATGGTACAGTTGGACATCAGTTTCACAGAGACACCGCAAAAAATCCTGGAGTGATCAGAGCTTTCTCCGGAAATATAGAGCCATGGAGGGCCGGGGGGGAACAGCACTGCCTTTTCCCCATTTGTTGCTGAGCACTCCCAGTCAGCTGGCTGAAAGAATGTATTTTTTTTTCTTTTCTTTTTTTTTTCCTTTGGAAATGTTTTATATATTTTATTTGTACATTTTAACTCTTTCACACCTGCAGTTGTGAAAGAGTTAAAAAGAAAATAGTGTAGTCGTTTTCTTTCAGTCAGCTGACTGGCAGTGCACAGCATCAAATGGGGAGTTGTTCCGGGCTGCATTACTTTATCCTTCATAAGAAAACTGACCAGTCCAGCGTTTTCTCTTCCATCTAAATAAAGGATGTAAAGCCTTTGATGTGTTGGAAAACTTCAGCAGCTTTCAACCATAACTTTTTAAAACGCTGGTCACCAGGAACCGGTACTTGCTGAGCGTGTTCTACCTTTAACAGCTTCCTTTTATTTGGCCAGAAGGTGTTTACGGTAGATGTGTTTTTTGTTGTTGTTGTTGTTGTTTGTTTGTTTTCTTTTTTTTTTTTTATTCACTGCTGGAATGAATGCCTTCCAGTGAAGATTATAGGAATGCAAAACTTCCCCGGCACACAGCTTCAGCCAAGCTTGTCCCTCTTTTACATTTAAATGCCGAATTTCCAGAATGCAGTTTCACCTCCCCTCCTGTAGCCCTGCACAATGCTCACACCCAGCGTTCCATCCTCAGCCCGGCCTCCTCTCCCAGCGACCTGCAGCGCTGGATGCTGCTGGTGTCCACTGTGCTGCCTGAGTCTGTTATTCCTGCCATCTGCCATCCCTTTTAGCCGCTGCAACTTGAGATGCCTCGGAAAAATGGCAGGAAATAAAAGGATAGGAAAGAAAATAGGCAAGCAGATGCCATCTCAACAAAGCAGAAAAGTTGTTTAAACGGGCGGAGGGGGGAGTTCCCCCTCCCCCCCCCACACTCCCCACCCCAGTAGTTCGGATTTGGTCGGGGGCGCAGCGAGAAAGTCGATGTTCACAATACTTGATTGTCCTCAGCGGCATTATTACCGTTAGTCGTCCCATAATCACTGATGGGAACTTGGTTTTTTTTTTGTCCGAAAAACGACAAGGTGCTACAATGGGAATGCTCCAATATTCACAACAAGAGTGTAATGTGTAATTTTGTTTTCATTCAGAGCATTTTGCCGTCACGCTGTGAACTGGATGCTTTCCTTTAAGCTGGAACGGTGGCCTTTCTTTTTGCATTATATAAGCAAGCCAAGGGGGTTGGGAAGGGGAAATGGGTTCTCTTTTAGCAAGCTTTGCTTTTCAGCAGCATGTGGGGGTGGGGGGAAGAAGCATGTCACTTTTATAATGGGCTGTTTAATTCTAATTAACTTGAGTTGAAGTAATTCAGATCCTAACCAGTTTTTTTTTTTTTTTTTTTTTTTTTCTTTTTGCAGCTTCGGTTGTAGCTTTGTAAATGTTGGTGAAAATCCTATGAACTTGGTTTAATGAAGAGTCAGATGCATGACACGGCATGCTGGGATGAACGTCGCGCAGACAGTTTGTGTGAAGCTGCTAAACTTTTTCTCTCTCTGCAAACTCTCCATCCATCTCTGTGCTAGGATCCCTCACTGGCAGCGTGAGCCCCGAAGGTGGAAATCCGACGGCGGACTCGGCCGAGCAGGTGTCTCCCACCCTGCCCCGTTCCACCAAACAGAGAGTTTCGGGAAAACTCCGCAGATCAGCGAGCGCTATAAGCAAATCTTCAAACTAAGCTCCTCAGCCTGTCGCCCGTCCTCAAGAGTGAAGCCTTGAATCTGCTGTGGAAGAACCTCAAACACCCTGCCGGGACTGCAAGATTGTTTTATTTTTGTCGGTTTTTTTTTTTTTTTTTTTTTTTTTTTTTTTTGGAAAAAAATTTTTTTTTGGGGGGGGTTTTTTTTTTTTTTTTGTGGTTTTTTTTTTTTTTTTTTTTTTTTTTTTTTTTGGAAAAAAATTTTTTTTT